ATATATTGTTGCTACTCCTAGCTCAATTCACTATATCTGGAAAGGTGTAAATTGTAGGCTTCAAGTGATTTACTGATACATCTCATGCGTACATTTTGATATCTTCATCGGAAGAAATCAGGGTGGTCGTTCTTTTGTTTAACCGACAACTAAGATTATCAATTTCATTTTTATTGTGAGCTGACAAATATTTAACCTATACTCCTATCAAAATGAAAAGAAGCAAACGGAACTTTGGTATTTAACTTCCTAATAAAGTTTGCTCACTTTCAAGTTTTATGAATTTGATTCATGCAAAGACGTTGAGAATGCTTACCACTTGGTACCTTTGGATGCTTGCTCGCTTTAGCATTTCTGTTGAGAGAGGTAAATGATCAAGAAAAACAATAAAGTTCTAGAAACAGAACCACAGGTTAAATCATGGAAATTGATTGATTTTAGGTTCTTTGATTTTCATTTCTTCAGGTACAATTTCACATACCTAAAGATGAAAATTAATCTTGATAAACTGCAAAATAAACTTGTGTTGACGATTTTTGTTGTGTTCGCTTTTCAATAACTTGCAGGAACAAGTAGTACTAATGTATGAGCTAGGAAAAATAAATATATACAAAGATTTGAAGAGTTGATGTTCTTCATGATACATTGATAGTCTAGAAGCCGTAAATGCAAAATATTTGCAACAACTTTGACCATGTATGCTCTTACTTGATCATCTCTTTCACTGATACACTCACATAACTTGAATAAAGTTTTTCCTAGCAATTTGTAGTTTATATAATTGAAGAACTTCCAGCGTTCTTTATTACTTATGGAGAACAAACCAACAATGTTGGGCCCGTGCCTAGTATATATATTAAGGCAAAGCCGATATTGTATTCCGAATTATGGTTTGGGAGATTGAATTTTTGCAATGTAAATTAAATAAAGAATAACCACCTAATTACACAAATATTCCTCTGTATTAACTAATTCTCTTTATAGTTTAAAATAATACATACTGTTTCATCAATTAATAACTTTTATAAAGAAAATTTCAGGTCAAATTATCTAGATAATTATTTTTTTCCTTCCTGATGCATTTTGAAAATACAGAAAAAAGGCGAGCGAGATAAGGAGAGAGGCAAACAAGATATGAGGGAGGCAAGTTGGATATCACATATACATATGCAAATCACACTAGATATATTTATCTAGGATACTAGATACATTCTAAAATATGGATACATAGCGAAACAAGCGAGCGAGAGAGGACAGAGGTGAGTGAAATTCATATACATGTAAATTCACTTGTATATATTGTATCTTGAACAAGTTACGCCAAAATTTGACCCAATGTATATGGATGCAAAAAAAAATATGTGTATCTGGAGTTCAAAATCGACACAAATGATACAAAAACTCACAAAAATTGCATAATTAAATTATAAACTAATGAAATTTATGTTATTTGCCCATTAAATCATTGTACTTTATGAAGTTTTCCCTTTTAGTAATCCAAAGAAAAGAGCCTATTTTGTCAATGTCTCCCCAAAAAATATGGGTAACTTACAGAAGTTTATTTATTTTGGGAGCTAATTATTTAAATATACGTTAGTTTGCAAAATCAAAATTTTTGCTAGATATGGTGTGTTTAAATATGTCTAGATACATGTATCTTGAGATACATGAGGTTAAAACTATGTGTAATTTGTTGCAAATACATTGTATCTAAGTGAATTCACATGTATATGAGATACATATATGAGTCTTGCTTGTTTTCCCCCATCTTGTACGCCAATCTTCTATCTCGCTCACATATATGATATTCTAGATACATGTAAATCACACTAGACACATGTATCTGGTGTGATTCACATGTATTTAAGATATATAATCAAATCTTGTTCGCCTCCCTTCTGTCATCCCTCACACTTCTTCACATTTTAGTGTATTTTGAAGAAAACGTGTATATATGTCTATTAGACTTAAAAATCTGGTATGAAAGATTATTAATTAGTAAAATAAAATATAATTATTTCAACTATAAGGAGAATTAGTAAATATCTTAAAAGTATTTGTGTAATTACTTAAGGCCTGATTGGCCGTGCAGTATGGTATCACGATCTGATATCATACTATGAAATCATGAGATGAAGTTGAAATTTATTTGGGTGTACGATATGAAATTTTTATGTTGTAAATTTTTTCATAAACGTAAAAAATCATAAATTGTAAAATTATTAAAATAACTGCAATTATTCATTCAATGTCATAAAATAAACAAAAAATTATAAAATCGCAAAATAAATTATGGCAAAACTATTTTTCTTTCACTTAGTTAATTATTTCATCTAACTTTAACTAATCAATTTTTTATTTTAATAAAAAATTAAACATAAATAAATTATAATGTATTAGTTTTTAATATAATCCTTCGGACATAGTATTCCATGCCCTCTCACTTGTCATCTACATGTGGATGTGCTATTGGCAGTCATTAGAGCACGCGCTTCCGCATTGAGTGCTTGTTTTTCTCGAAAATGGTGTCTTTAGGACATATGCTTCCAAGCGGCAATGTCGCTGGGTTTAACTGTAGGACCCTTTTCCAGTCTTTCGCTCCTACTCTCACGACTACAACTAGGTACACTTATCCTCTTACTTTGCCCAAGTTGTTCAGGATTTCATCACTACAAGCTGACATTTTTGTGGGTGCAGAAATTTCAGTGTAAAAATGTCAATTCCGACGACTCAATCTTCCATATTGCTCCCTGAAGATCGAATCATAGTGGGTCTTTTTTTTGCTTCTGATGGAGGTTTATTGGTTAAGTTGGGGTGGTTATGTTATATCTGATGAATTTGTTATGTAATTTGAGCAGTTAGGTTGTGGGGCTGTGTCAGTGGACTTTTTGGCTGCTGTTGCTTCTTATCCTAACCCAGATGATAAGATTCGAAGCACAAGCTTTGAGGTTCTTAATTTTTCTTCACCCTGTTGTTTGAACTCAACTCTCTTTCTTCCATTCTTTGTCATAGTGAAAAGTGATCATTCTTGTAAAACAGGTTCAAGGAGGTGGAAATACTGGGAATGCTTTGACTTGTGCAGCTCGCCTAGGCTTAACTCCTAGGATTATTTCAAAGGTCTATCTGACTGATTCTAGATAGCTTTTTGGAATTTATTTCTGTATGCTTCCTGTACTTTTTGATTTTCTATATAAGAAATAAGCCCATAAGTTTTGTTTCCTGCGCAATACTCTAGATTCATAATATAATTCCCCCTAATACAATGTTTGATTCCGGTGTAAAACTCTCTATAATTGATAGTTGCATAACTCTTTTTGAACGAAATCGTTGGTTTGGAATTGGAGGGAGCTGGGTTCATGCCTCTATCCTCCTCCCATTTGAATACTAGCTTCTCATCAGTGGCAGAATTCGAAGTTATGACATTCACCAAGTCCACACATTCTATGCCATGTGCTTATCATTGAACCAAAGCATTGGGGGCTGTAATACCTGCATAATGCATGAGGAAACTTATGTCTTATTTTATGCAGGGTGGACATGTATTAGTAATTTCAAGATAAGCTTTGATATCACTATCTCTGCCCATTACTAGTTTGTCAACCAAACTAACCAGTGGTGATGCCTTTCGTTATGTTTGATTGCTAAAAACCAGTCTTCATCGGTCAATCTTTCCTAATTTGCTTTTCAATTCTTAACTTCTGTAACCTTTTGAAGTTCCTGACATCTTCACTTCATCTCCTAATTCCAAGTTGTTTTCTTAGGTTGCCGATGACTCTCAAGGAAAAGGGTTACTGGAGGAACTAGAAGCTGATGGTGTAAATTCGTCTTTTATGGTGGTGAGCCATCCAGACATGGAGTGCTTCTAGAGCTAGAAAAATGATAACTTGAATGCTTTTCTGTGTTTTATAGTTTGTTTATGTAAAAAAATTGGTAAAATTGTGATTCTGACTCTTTCCGTCCTCAGACTTCTTGTCATCTACTCGTCTCTAACAAGAAGTATCTGATTACTTGTACCATTTTTTTTTAATTCCAGGTGTCAGAAGGGGGAAATTCACCGTTTACCTACATCATTGTTGACAACCAAACGTGAGTGCCTTCTGCTCTGTTTACCACCATTTCAGACTGCCTTGGTGGTAATTAATTACTATTGTGATGTGATTTTCATGACATATGAATTTATATCTGTTAAGTTTATATCCAAGTGCTAGTTGTGAGTTACTATCTAATTTTTTCTTTTAATTTCTATGTCAAAAAAAATTGTATGTTATACTATTTGCTGGATGGCAGCTGCAAATTATAGCATTGTGCTATTAAATCCATAATCGAACTAAATCAAGTCTCTGACTACTTCTCAAAGTGGAGCAGCGCTGCTGCCCATCCGCCATTTTTTTTTGGGTATTAGGGGCTACAACATTGTTTTCTGTTCTTGCTTAACACTGAATCAGAAGTTGGTTTGTTGTCAGTCCCCAATTATTGCATCCTACCTACTACTAATGTGTAGTTAACTGAAACCTCGCAACGTACCTAGTGAAATCCCACTAAGTGAGGTCTGAGAAGGGTAGAGCATATGCAGACCTTATCTCTTCCTTGAGGAGGTAGAGAGGCTGTTCCTGAAAGGTCCTCAGTTCAAGTGCATCAAACCCAAGTAAAAGATGAAGAAAACAATGGAGAAAGCATAACCGTTAATAAGAAAAATGTGTAAAGTCTACAAGGAAGAAAGAAACAATTACAATACTAAAATAGTGTAGCAATCGAAACACAATACACAAGATGAGTCAAGAACTACAAGGATACAACTAGTACTCCGATGGACTCTAACAAGCGTAAACCTACGCACGACAAGACAACATTTCATCCCTACTAACCTTTCACCCTTATATGCAACCTCCACTCCTTTGTATGTAGAGTCATGTCCCTGATAATATGAAGTTGCACCATGTCCTATCTAATCACCTTTTTTCAATACTTCTTTGGTCTACCTCTAACCCTCCGGGTACCCCCTATTTTATTAACTAAAAAATGTTTTTAATTTGATAAAGAGAGTCACCAATTAATTTTTCAAGAAAAATTAAGAAAACCAATTTTTCAAAAAATTAAAACAGTAAATCAATTGAAAATATTAAGGGGGTTCTGGGTTTGATAACAAGTCTGGCATAACAAGTCGGGTGTGAATTCTGTGAAGGTCAAGAACAACCTTTATATGGTGAAGATCTTCTAGAGTGTTCTTTTCCATCAGATGCGTAGGAAATAGAAGAAATGTCTTTCCTCTTTTTCTTTAACAATCCCGAAGATCCAGACGAGGCAGTAACGCGTGCAATCTTCCCGATTCTTAGCCCGTCCTCGATAGCCTCACCAACCTTGACTATCTTGGCGAATTTTGCTCCAATGAGCAATATAATCTTGTCATAGTATTTTGATTCTTGAATACGCACAAACACTTCAATAATTTCTTTTTCTGACATAGGCGGCCTCTTTCCTCTCCATCTATACGTGTATTCGTGGTAACTTCCGGTTGACTTCTATCTAATATGTTCCAAAGAGTACCGTTCCAGAACGATCTCTACATTGTAGGCAAATCGTTCGACTAAACTTCAGATGTCGTTGGATTGAATTATGAAGATTTGCATCCATCAAAACTTGGATCTTTAAGAAGGGTTCAAAGTGTCGAAATTTGACACTTTTGGAGGAACTAGAAATCTGTTGGCTCATTTGAGGGCTTATTGTGACCAGCTCGTAGGAGTTGGAAGAAATGGAGTTTTGTTTATGCGGCTCTTTAGTCAAAGTTTTAACGGGGAAGCGTTAGAACGGTTCACTTACCAGGAGATGAAGCAATGGTCCAGTTGGAACACACTCGCCAAGGATTTTTTCAAACAATTTGCCTACAATGTAGAGATCGTTTTGGACCAATACTCTTTGGAAATGATCAGACAGAAGTCAATTGAAAATTACCGTGAATACGGGTATAGATGGAGGAAAGAGGCTGCTAGAATTCGACTGCCTATGTTGGAAAAAGAAATTGATTAAGTGTTTGTGCGTATTCAAGAACCAGAATACTATGACATGATTATGTTGCTCATTGGAGCAAAATTCGCAGAGATAATCAAGGTTGGTGAGACTATCGAGGACGGGCTAAGAATTTGAGAAGTTGCTCGCATGTTGCCTCGTCTGGATCTTCGGGATTGTTAAACAAGAAGAGGGAAGACATTTCTTCTATCCCCTAAGCATCTGAGGGAAAGAAACACTCTAAAAAATCTTCATCGTACAGAAATCGTTCTCGATCTTCGTAGAATTCATGCGCGACTTGTTATGCCCAAACTGGTTATCAAAGCCCCTTATTATTTTCAATTGATTTACTATTTTAATCTTTTGAAAATTAGTTTTAGTTTTTCCTTAAAAATTTAGTGGCGACTCTCTTTATCAAATTGAAAAGATTTTTTAGATAATAAAACAGAATAACGACTCTGCTGGGGAAGACGACGAGTGAATTTTCCGTGTATCTTGACGGTGGGAGACATGCTTCTTCATTTGAAGCTACTGATATGAAGACGCTGTATATTTTCTTCCGTGCTATTGGCATTTGAAGGATGTTATTACCTCGCATAGTGAATGTTGTTGTTAGCTGCTAGGTTAACGTTGTGTTTGCGCTGTCCTTTTTCGTGAACTCGTTGGATTTGTTCTTTCTCGTGTGAGGAAGGTGAGGCGCGTCTGGTTGAGGAAGAAGAAGGCAACACGCGTCGTTCTGCTCTGGGGTCAATCACGCTTGCTATTGGTGTTATTGTTGTTTGTTGTTAACGTTGAGGGAATTGGATTTGGGCCGGGTATTTTGATAGAAGATTGGGCTGGTTGAATTAGAAAATTGAGGCAACAAGTGGGATGATACGATATTGGGCTGTAATTTGAGTTCAAAGTTGGATAGAAAAGTGGTCAAAATGAAATAGATGTGGCTAGGTTTTGCAAAACACAAAATGGTTAAACTGAATGCAATTATAGATATATAGAATTCAAAACATAGCTGAATTTACTTAATTTAGTGAATCCGGCTAGAATTTAAACACGATGAATTAATATTAATTAACAAGCTTCTTGATCTTAACGGAAAAAATAAAATAATTAACTTAATTGTAAAATATAAACTCAAAATCGTAACTATAATTTGAACTAAACTAACCCAACAAATATTTAAGTAAAAGTAAAAATCTTTTTTAAGAAATTTTTTGAATATAAATAAAATATACTAATTATTTACATAATTATATGAAATATTTATTATTTAAAAAAATATAAAAACTGATCGAAATTACTTAATACTCCCTATGTCCCACTTTAAGCGACTTACTTTCCTTTTTAGCCATTCTAAAAAAGAATGACACATTTCTATATTAAGTAACAATTTAACTATAAAATGTCCATTTTACCCTTAATGAAATGATTCACATTAACACAAATTTCTATCATTCATTTTGGACCACAAATTTTAAGTCTTCTTTTCTTTCTTAAAATCCGTGCAGAGTCAAACTACCTAATATAAAATGGGACAGAGTGAGTAACTTTGAAAAAAATTTGAATTTATAAAGCTAATTATTCCAAATTGTCTGAAATTAAACGAGCTTAACAATTAATTTCTATTGGGGAGGATCAAATTGGGTGTCAACCCCCCCCCCCCCAACCATGAACCAACCTCTTGCACCTCCTCAGTTGGGCGTCAACGCTCCTCCTTTGCACTTGCCCTAGCTATCTCAGCCTTGCTTCCCTCATCTTGTCCCACTCCTACCTTCTCCTTTATAACTTCATTTCTAATGTTGTCGCTCATAGTATGCACACACATCCATTTTAACATCCTCATCTCCACAACATGCATCTTCTCCACCCCATACAACAAGGACGGTTTTATTGTAAAAGCTTACAGTTAAGTTGAGGTGGCACCTTCTTATCACACAAGACCCTAGATGTAAATCTCCATTTCATCCATGTTGCCGATGTGATGTGTGACATAATCGCCGATGTCTCCCTCTAACACTTTGTTTGGATCATTGTTACCCATTGTATCATATTGTATTATATTGTATTGTATGGTAGATACAATGTTTGGCTAGACTATATTGTTTGTTGTTGTTTAGTAACATTTTTATTGTTTGGTTTGATTGTATCGTATTGTATTGTAATTTATAAATTTACTAAAATATTCTTTAATTATTCTAGGGTAGGATGTTTGACAAGAATTAAATAACATAGGGTAACGGGTAAAATAGTATTATGAAATATTATGTAAGGATATAATTGGAGAAAAAAAAATTAAGTACCAATGAGAATACACCAAATCGGTTGTTTCATAAAACAAGTTTTCATTGTTATGTATCAATAAAATTTAACAATACAATACAATACTTTTTAAGTAATAATCAAATCACAACATTGTAGGTATGATAACAATATAATACAATACAATGGGTAACAATGATCCAAACAGAGAGTGTACCTGTGTTGAAATTCTGGTGTTTTAGTTCCCTTATTACAGTTTCTGGTCAGTGAATCGTCTCTATTGAGAAACTGGATCGAAATTACATCAAAAGCTTAATATGTTTTAAAGATGGAGAATGACATGTCTTGGATACTGCAACATCTTTGCAGCTTTTATACTAATCAAATGAATTGTGCCTAATCTCAAGCTTGTTGGGCTTGGTTATGATTTTTCCAAATAATTCTGCTCTATTTGGGTACATATGATTTCAATATTGGTTAACAATTTTAAGGCTAGTTAGAGTTTTTCTATAAGTAGATGTTCTCAAAATCTCACATTTTCTCTATACCACCATACAATTCTCTAACTGACCGAGAATTTCTAGCAAACAGCAGGACCTGACATTAAGGAATCTTAATTTCAACTAATTAAATTTTATTATGGAGGTTCTAGCAGTTTATTTTATGAAATGGGTTGCCTGTCTATTTAAGAACTCCTTGTGTTTGATGTTTCAGGAAGACTCGCACTTGCATTCACACCCCTGGCTATCCACCCATGATACCCTCTGATCTTTCCCAATCAAATTTATTGTCGGCCTTGGATGGTGCTAAACTTGTCCATTTCGATGGGAGATTGCATGAAACTGCTGCTATTGTAGCAGAGGAGGTATTTTCCTCTCACGCCTCTCTTCAAGCTTTCTGAGCTCACAAAAATACTCGTATATCGAATACATTTAAAATGGAAATGAACTGCATGCTTTTGGGATTTCCAGTGCAGGCAAATAGAAGGGGCATACCCATTTTAATTGACGCTGAGAGGAAAAGGGAAGGATTGGATTATCTTTTAAACTTTGCAAGTTATGTTGTGTGCTCAACCAAATTTCCTCAGGCAAGCTATTCACTCTATAAACTACATCTGTCTAGTTTCTTGGCTGCAAGAATATGCCTTTTGAATGAGTTGGACTGTCACTAATCTTCATAAAGAAGAATTTGTAATTTTGAGCAATGTCTTCTAGCATGGGCTGCCTGATTCAAATTGTGGTTGTATCTTCCATGAGATAGCACTGTTGGTTGTATTGACTGGTTTCATGGTTTTGCTGACAGCATGATCAACTGCGGATGCCTTCAAACTTTTCCTGATATGGAAAAGAATATATGTTTTACGGGTTCAGTTTTAGATTGGGATAATTTCCTATAATTCCTTGTTAATCTTTGTCATGGACCTTTAATGCAGGCCTGTAAATGATTTGACTTCCAGAATTAAATAAGATTGAGGATATCAAAAGAAAGGAGTCCCGCTAGTTCTTTTATTGTCTAGTGGAATGTCCTCAATGTTATGGTTGTTAAATGAAATCGGAAAACCAACAGAGAAAAAATAAAATAGAAAAAAAACGTTTTAGGTTGGTTTGATGTGGTTAATCAACCGAAATAGTCTGTTAGTATTTTTTAAAGGAGATACCGGCTCATATTTAATCACATATACCCCTACTTAATGTTATTATATCACTCAGTCAAGTTCTTAGTATAGCGGGCTATTCTTCATTATTCAGGCAATCCTATTCATAGTTGGACTATTTAATGCTAACCGTCAACCTATTGAAACCCCCCTTTATCCTAGCTTGAGATTGGTTAGCAAAGTTAAAGAAAGTACACAGGAACTTCTTTATCTAAAGAAAAGAAAGTACAAACACTTATAGAGGTTATTTAGAAGATCACTGCAGAAATGGTAGAGAAAAGCTCCCTGAGGAGGAAGGGAATTAAACATGATCTTTTATGAAGAGAAGAATTTGATGAATACGGAGGTGCCATGTGGGGAAGGGAGTAACTATTAGTCATCACATTTACTAAGCAGGGAGTCTGAAAAGGTCTTTGTTTTTTTTGGTGGTAATAATGGTGATAAGGCTGAGATGAGTTATCTGATGGGATTTTAGCTTGTGGTGGCTAGCGTTTACTCAACTCTTTCAATCAAAGGTCCTTCCAATTTTTGAAATGAGGAGAGAACTTGGACAAAAAGATCATGATGAGACCTCTTCAGAATCAAGCAGGCCTGGCAAGTCCTCAGGAGAAAGCACCTAAGCATGACTGTAGCTGGGTTTAGGTAATAGAAGTTTCTTGAGTTGAATTTGTAAGCAGAAACTGTGGATGCGTTTACTTCGGCTCTTCAGTTAGGGTATGGTCGCTGAAGTGAAGAACATTGCCTAGTTCATAAAGTAGCTTTAGAGGTAACAAAGTCCCATGAATTTGCTAGAGTCGTACAGTTCTTTTAGCTGGAGTATGAGGGCCCTTCAATAAATATGTAGGTGAAAAATTTAGACTACTACAACTGTAACTGTCTCATGGGAACTACCCACACATTTGGTTTAATGATACAGCAAGGGGCATACTGACTGAAAATTACATGTCAGAAAACATTTTACTAGTCACTTGCAAGAAGGTTTTTGAGTTATTTTACATATACATCAGGTCTGGTTTCTGTGATGCTCTCTGATAAGGCAACAGGGTTTTGATTGACTTTCAGGAATGGACTGAGGCTTCTTCTATTCCCACCGCCCTTGTTTCCATGCTCTTAAGGTTGCCAAAAGTTAAATTTGTTATTGTGACATTGGGTAAAGATGGCTGCATAATGCTACAAAGGACTGAAATGGGTATTTAGCAAAGTTTTTGTTTCTTCTCTTTTTTGATCAACTTTAATCACCTGTACACATCGATGAAGCCTTGTAAAAGATGGTACAGAAGACTATGCAACATTTTATATGCATCCTACAGAAACTTCAATACTTTTGCAGACAATCTCCTCCCTGAAGAAATGGATGTCGAAGTCCTGTTCAAAAAACTGAATCTGGAGAAAGACACTAATGCAACATTGCCTGCATGCATATCCTCGGTATTTCACTGTTCAGCAATTCTTTATCTTACCCCCAACCCTGCCACCAGCCTTCTGCATTTCTTGTTTGGATTTCTCAAGTCTTGTGTATATATATAAAAAATTGTCTA